GGGAATTGCTGTTTGCCAGAGTTATGCCCTATAGGGGTTTTGATCAAAGTGTGAGATGCTGATTTTGGTTCCCATGCTTAGGGAGGCCGTCTCAACAAAAGAAGTTTGTCCAAGTCATCATAGAAGTGAAATCTTACCATGAGAATCGTAGAATAGTTAGGGTTGGAAAGGACCTTAAGATCATCGTGTTCCAACCCCCTGCCATGGGCAGGGACACCTCACACTAAACCATGGCACCCAAGGCTCTGTCCAGCCTGGCCTTGAACACTGCCAGGGATGGAGCATTCACAACTTCCCTGGGCAACCCATTCCAGTGCCTCACCACCCTCACAGTAAAGAACTTCTTCCTTATCTCCAACCAGAACTTCCCCTGTTTAAGTTTGAGCCCATCACCTCTTATCCTATTGCTACAGTCCCTGATGAAGAGCCCCTCTCCAGCATCCTTGTGAGAAGGATCAGGGCTAGGCTGGGGCTCTGTACGCTGTTCATTATGTTCTTACAATCTTTTCAGCCTCACTTCACACAGTGATTTTCCAAACTTTCCTCGATTGATTAGTGGCACCTCAAGGTTGGTTTCTCCCTGCATCAGTCCATCTGGCACTAGCCATTAGTGCTTTCTAATACACAGAAAGTAATTTAGTGTGTGACTTCAATTAGTAAAGTAGTTTGGGTTGGAGTTTGGGTGTGGGGATTTTTCCCCTGGATGAGTCTTTTTTCTTAACTGACACTTAAGCAAAAGAAAAGCACCCTGCTTTTGAATGGATGATAGCCAAGAACTTGCAAAAATGTTGGCAGAGCTCAAAGACAAGGATTTTTATGATTAAAACTTCTTGACATAATAAAAGAAATTGTTCTGCAGAGACCTCTGAGGTGACCCCCAGAAAAAAACAATATAAACCTCCTGTCTCCCAGGGAACAGTGAGGAGCTCTGAGTTAATTGCCAGTGTCTTTAATCTACATCTCCCTTGTGATCTTCTCTCTGGAGTTTTAGACTGATTCTGATCAGCTTCACTAGAAGACTTGATTCTGTCCCCCAGTTATGTTCCTATAAATCAGTCAAGCACTGTTACAACTGGTTAAATGATAGTAGCCTGAGCAAACCAGGAGGATCAAAATCACAGAACAGAAGACCATAAAACCACCCAAATATCTGATTGTCCATCCTCATCTTGCTGCTATTAGTATGACGGTGATGAGGGAGGGCCTAACTGGATACTGCATGGGTGGTAACCAAGCCAAAGATCAGTGACGTCTCTCTTTACCTTCACCTGAGTGAGCTTTCTGTTCAATTCTTGCAGTGATGGAAGAGAGGATCAGACACAAGACTTGGGGCTTTAGCTCTCAGTCTTATAGCCATTGATGGGAGACAAATGATTTATCCCACCTCTGCCCATGCTAAGAGGTAAAGAACTGAATGAGCAGGCAAGGAGGGATCAGCCTGATCTCTGATAGGTTTGAAGGCAACTCTGCTCTCTGCCCGGAGTCCTTCAAAGGCAAGAATCATTCCCTGTGCTAGGGGGGCAGCATCTTCCTTTCCTCCTGGGTCTGCAGCGCGTGATTCCAGTCGGCAGCACTTTGTAGGACAACCCTGCCAATCATCTTAATTGAATCTTTCGGCTGTTTCCCTGAAGCTGCCAGTTTTAGATCTTGCACATCTTCTTCATCCAGGCAGAATTAGGAAACGTGTTTCTTGCCGCCTTATCGCTGTTGATAAATAATTGTATGTTGCATTTATTGGAAGCTTTGAACTGGTACATTTGGAGACACTGTTTAATATGTCTGGCTGTGAACAACCGTGGCCTGAGCAGATTTTAATTACTGAGAAGGGATTGCTGAGATTGGAAAGCACAAGAAAGGTGCTCCAGGTCCTTGGAAGACATCTATAAAGGCCTTGAAGGGCCAAATGCTGGAGCTGCAGTCAGCTGGATTAATCAGATTGGAAAGTGAAGAGAGAAGGAAGTCATTTCTGCTTAGCGCAGTAGGTGATATTGCAGTCAGGGTGCCCCAAGGGAGGAACAGTGGGCAAAGCAATGCTGGAAAATATCTGTGCTCTTGGGAGCAGACTGAGAGTTGCTGGCTATCCCTCCGAGTTCAGCTGGCCTGAGAAGTGTGTAGGATCAAAGTGAGCACTGCAGCAGTGAACCTTACACCGGGACAGATGCCTTTGACCTGATTCCAAAAATAGTTGAAGAGTGGTGTAGAGACCAGCAGGAAAGAAGTGCACAGCATGGCGAGAATCAGGCTGTAAAAATCATAGGCAGTGTTTCAGACCAGACAGGTGGCTACACACGTGTGTTATCCTGCATTTCTCCAGAGATATTTGATTAAAGAAAAAGAAGACAGATGTCTGTAAGCACGCTGTCTTACAGGATTGCTAGGACTCTGTAATCCTCATCAGCTCAGGAATCCTTCCCCTATGTACTGCTGCATTTGTGCTGGCTGATGTGTCCAAGAAGGAATCCACAAAGATGTCAAAGAGGAGAACCAAAGCCCAGTGGTTTTGTTTATCCCTTTAGTTTACAAGTGAGCAGTAAATAATGCAAATTCTAATTACACCTTAAATATTCTGAAAGCTGGATGAGCATTTTCAGCTCTCCAGAGGAGAAATGTGGCGTGTTGATTGATTCTTGCTGAAAATGCTGTCTAGCATGTAAGAAAAATACCTCTATAAACGTTGGTTGGCCCTCGCTCTTGTCTCGGCAGCTGCTTCCCAGGTAGGGAGCTGGCAGCGCCTGCAGAAGCCCAACAGCAGCCCTCAGGAAACTGCTTTCATAAAGAAGGTTCTTTGTTTAATCCTTTTTGATACGTTTGATTTGAAGATTGCCTCAGTTCTACCCAATGTAAATTGGGTGAAGAGGGGTAGCAAATACGTTTGGAGTCCCTGGGCTGATTTTTCATCCCTAAGTGTAAAGGGATGGAGCATCTGCTGTGCCAGCTGTGGCAGCTTGACTCCAAAATGCCCATCCAAATAGAGGAGAAGGAAGGAAGAGAAGGAACTCTGGACAGCACAGAGGAGGCTGTTTCATAGGTAGTTGGCAGTGGTTTGGTTTAGCCTTGTGTCACCTCCCAGTCGATCCCTCCAGTTGCTCCATGAACCTAAACAGGCAGTGGGTGCAGGAGACGATTGTTTGCTGTGCACAGCCCACACAGGCAAGGGATGCAGCCGAAAAGAACTTTGCTCTCTATAAATGTTTCAGCCATGTTAAAGGAAAGGCAGAAAAGGGCAGTTCCAGTTTGATTGCTTGCTGGTTTCACACCACTGAACAGACTGATTACTGCCTGTGTCTTAACCCCTTCTCAGGCTCCAGGGTGAATAACAGCACTTGCCTCCAGACAAAAAAGAATGCGTCTATTGCTGAAAACATTCTACCACAGATTATTCTCTGGCATTCCCATTGGCCAAAAGCATTGGTTTTGTTAAACCCACGCCACTGGAAGTGTAGCATTCCTGTCTGATACCTGTGTATCGCTAACCAGCAGAAAGGATGTGATAGGAATGCATGTGATGAGGAGCAGGAGAGGTGGGTGTAGTTTGTGTAAATGCAGCCAGCATCTCATCAGACCTGACTGCTCAAAGTCATTGGCAATGGTGACAACCATACAGCTGCAGAGACAATTTTCACCTGCTGCTTGGCAGTTCATGTTTATTGGTTTTAGCTGCGTTCGCTGGCAGCTTCTCACTCAGGTGCATGGTGGGCGTCAAGTTGTGCGTGCTTCAACGTGGGAAGTGGGCTTGAAAACTTGATGAAACATCACCATGTTTGACTTCAGCGTGAGAGGAATCAAGAGTATGATTCTATAATGCTTAAGACTAGGTCGTGCTTTGCTTCCAGCACCCATGAGCTGATGCAAGGTGCTCACAGGAAACCTGTGAGTGCTGATGTGATCATATACCAAAGATCCATATCTAGAAGCTTCTTCCAGCTCCTTGGGTAAAAAAAACAGGAGAAAAGTGGCAAGGCTTCATGTCTGACTTCCCTGCAAGTGTTTTGCCCTGGTGCTCCAGGTGTGACAAGAACATTGTTTTAGTCAGTGCTTCAATGTCAAGCGCTTTATGGATCTGCTTTTCTGTACACACCACATAGAAAGTCTTCTGCGTTGATGACTCTTGATCCTTGTCTTGGTCACAGCAAGCTAATTCACAGGTCCTCCACTCAAACAGGGTCTAAACCAGGACTGATGCCACTGAAATTGAAGGCAGGTGGCAATTCCAGGTTTATGCTGGGACCGCCAAGTCTCACAGTAGATGTAACAAACAGGATACATCAGTGTAAGTAAATTCAGACAGGAGCTTTGATTTTGATGGGAATTGTGCTGGAATTTCAGCTCTAGGACTAGTAGCAGGCTAGCACTAGAGGTTTGGTGTGTTTTAGCTAAATAAAAAGTGTAAATTACATGGCAAAATTTGCTTTGCTCTGCACACAGCCTGCGTGGTGTTAATTAAATCCTCAGCTTCTTTTCTAGTGGAAGGAAGACTGCGAAAACGAGTATGAAATCAATTCTACATTTAATTAAAGCAACTCTCTTCCATTCACATGCTTTCCTACTACAATACTGGTGATGCAGTTGTAACGGTGAGCCAGTAGGAATCACAAAGAAATTGGTTTTACAGGAACAAAATTGACTTTAAAACTTAGAAATTTTATGGGTAACGTTATAAAACCAGGAGCTAAGGTAAAAGCCCAGATCTCTGCACAGAGAGGCTCTTTTTGTTTATAATCCCCCCTTGGAATTTCTCTGCACTGGCTCAGAACCAGTGTTTCAGGTGTTTTATTGTAATGCTTTATTATTTTAATCATACCAGTTCCTGTAGAAATCTCAGGCCAGTCTTTTGGTCACACATTGCTGCTGTCTTAAGCCAACTGTGAGAAGTGCAGCAGGTCTGGATGAATCCTGAGAGATGCTGTGGAGTGATGAGTACCAGGCACTGTCAGAAGACTGATGTTTACTGGCTTTTTGGATGACTTGTTCTTACACTTTCTTTCTCTGTCTTCCCATAGGTTATAACCCTGGAAGGATGGGTTGACATCATGTATTATGTGATGGATGCACATTCTTTTTACAATTTTATATATTTTATATTGCTTATAATAGTAAGTATGAACTGTGAGTTGCTCCCGTTCCTTGTCCTTGTGGGGTAAAGCTGTTCCCTGGGCTTTTCACAGAGGAGTGCCAGCCAGGATTCAGAGTGGGAGACCTTCCTCCTGCCATAAAGCATAATCACACAGGTTGTGATTAGTACTTCAGGGACAAAATATTGGCTACAACAGCCCTCTTTAGTGTCACATGTGATGCATAGCCACAGCTTGTCAAGCCATATGGTCCCTCTTACTGTCCCCAGTCTTGGTCTTGTTACCTTGATGCGTCCTAACTCTTGTGCCTTGGCCAAGCAATTGCTAACAGAACAAAAAGCAGAGAGGCTATAGCTTTTCTTCCTTTAGTCTCCTCAGTGGCCCAGAGGACACCTTATTTCAATGAAGGGCCTTCAAACTGTTGAACTTTAGCTGAGCCCTTTGAATAAGTGCTAATAGCAGTGCACCTTGCTGGGGTCTTTTAGTGCAAAGTGTTACTCACTGGAGGTGCTGGAGGTTGTCTTCAGAAGCTGCCATTCCGTGTTAGCAAGGTTCTTTCTTTCACAATGGGCACAACCTTCTCCAGGGGTCCACATCTGTGGAAAAGTTGAGGATTTAAGTCAAGAGGAGAGCAGAGGGAAAAGTATTGTGTAGATGTCAGGCAGGACATGGGATAGAGGCACTTCGAAGTGCTTTTGTGGCTGGATGTTCTTTATACATAACCCTATCCTCGTCAGTGCGGTTTTGAAGGCTTTGGGAAGTCAAAACACCACAGCTCCTACCACCAGTGGGAAAGGCATGGATCAGAGCAGTGTGAGTTTCCCAGTAATGAACAGCATTCTAAAGCCAGTGATTTTTGAGCCTTTAGCAATAGGCCATGCATAGTAGAGATTTATGCTCCACTCTTTTGAGCCCTTCTCTACACATGGATCCTTGCAGAAAAGCCAGAAGGTGACTAACCTCCAAGTCGCTTGGAGCTGGGAATGACACCCTTGCTGCTTCTCAAACAGTATCCAGGCTGATACTACAAACTGGAGAAAAGCACTGCAAACCATCTCCCTGTGGCTTCCCCTGAGGATTCACCAGACAATGGTCCAGATTAAATCCATGTGTTTCCTACTGAGCAGAGCAGAGAGGTTTGGCCATGTAGACAGTGGCACTTTCTTGACGTCAGTCCCTTTCACGCCTAAGGACACTGATTCTCTGATGGGAATAGTTGACATTTTCCCCTGGCTGATTCTTGAACCCAAGTGGTGAAGAACCAGTTTGTGGGCTCAACAGCTGAGGGAAAGATGTAGCCTTAGGCCACTTCACATTCTTGTCCTTGGGACTTTGTTTTGAAAACCTGGTATCACCCAAGAACACATCAACTCAACCAGACAATAAATTAGACCTCTCAAAGAGCATCCCGGAGATGCATTTCTCTGTGTCAGAGAGATGCAAGAGTACAAAGTCACAGATGCATGGACCTTGCCTGTGCTCCTCAAAACAATGGCATGCTATGCCAGGGTGTGAAGTGATAGAGGAAGAGAAGAGGCAGTTTCAGTACATCACAAATTGGGCTTCAGACCATCTTTCCTTGCAGGTTGGCTGTGTGTTCCCTAGAAAATCTGTTTGTGTTGTGTTTCGTACACCCTGCGTTAGTAACAAATGTCATCACTGTTGAGGGGGGAAAGTGGTGAAGGCTATTGTTAACATCTTTCTTTGCCATTGCCAAAATAACTTAACATGGCTTAGGAGCAGATTTAGCAGCTCAGGCACATGTTGACAAAACATTTGGTGAGCAGACCCTGAGATTTGGCATGTTTGGAAATCTCAAGATTTCTAAGAACCGCACTTCAAGTCCAGACAGCATACGGTGGTGAAGAACGTGTCGTGCTCTGTAAAGGCCCTGCTAATTCCTTTCCCTGTGTTTTCTCCAGGTCGGTTCCTTCTTTATGATTAACTTGTGCCTGGTTGTGATAGCAACACAGTTTTCTGAAACAAAGCAGCGGGAGAACCAGCTGATGCAGGAGCAGCGGGCCCGGTATCTCTCCAACGACAGCACAATTGCCAGCTTCTCAGAGCCAGGTAGCTGCTACGAGGAGCTGCTCAAGTACATCTGCCACATCTTCAGGAAGGTGAAGCGACGGACGATACGTCTCTACAATAACTGGCAGAGTAAGCGCCGGAAAAAAGTGAACCCAAACAGCACCACGAACGGGCAAAGCCACCGAGGCAAAAAGCGCATCACCTCCATCCACCACCTCATCCACCATCACCATCACCACCACCACCATCACTACCACATCAGCAATGGGAGCCCTCGGGGGCCACGCTCCAACCCTGAGATCTGCGACTTGGAGCTCAAGGTCATGAAACCTGGAGGCCAACTGATGCTTCCTCCTCCATCGCCCAACTTGCAGAGCCCTGCTCCTCCTCCAGATTCGGAGTCCGTGCACAGCATTTACCATGCAGACTGTCATGTTGAAGGACCACAAGTGAACTGTAAGTCTTCCAATGCCCCTGCGAGCACTAAACTGACTGCTGGACTCTCCAACCATGGCAACATGAACTATCCTACTATCCTGCCTTCTCCAACTAGCAAAGCCAGTTCTGTTCCAGCCCCCAAGGGAAAGAAGAATGGCAATTCACCTGTGGCTGTGGTTAATAGCCCTGTAAATTTGGGCACAGATTCTTATGGGAAGCTACAGCAACTGGTAGGAGAGCATGGTAAGGACAAACAAACTGATGTTTATTGCTCAGGAAAACTGGGGAATGGGCAAATTGCTCAAGAGTTATGGTGTTAAGAGGCCTTTGCTGGAGGCCTCTTTCCTGTAGTTGCAAAGTATGTGTTTTTGAGCTCCTCTTATGTGCTTAGTGATATTCTGGAGGTTCTCCCTTTCTTCCCACCCAAGAACTGGTCTATGCAGCCCCTGGAATTACATCTGTGGTAGATGAAGGACTTGCTGGCTGTAGCCCTGCAGCAGAGCAACCCTAGCTGCTGGGAAATGGTACCCTGAAAGGGAAGAGCAGGTGGAAGCTGGTGGAGAAGCATAAGGTATGGGAGATGTAAGAAGTTTGAAATAGGGAGGCACTGGAAGAACTCAGACATTTCTAGAAACCCTTAGTTCTGCTCTGATGGGACTCTGTGCCTCTGAGTTTCTCCTTGGCAAGGAGAAGGTTTGGAGGCAGACCCATTGTCAGTGCAGGGTCTTGCTCAGAGGATGCATGTGAGGGCAGGAGCGTAGCAGAGCTACGGGTCTCAAGCTTTCCTTCCCATCTTTCCCTATGAGCAGAAGTGTAAGACTGATTGTTACTACAGATTTGGAGCTCTGTTCCATCTGAATGAATGAGGAGCATCTCGGTGATTCTTTCGTACCTCTGGCCCACCCCTGTGTGTGCAGGCAGCAGCACTGTTAGTGTAGTTTTCTCTCCCTTCACGTATAAATCACCCACTGCTGGAGTTGTGATTGTAAGCAACGCTTAGGTTTCTGTTTTGCAAAACGTTTCCAGTTCTCCTGGCTGGAGCTGAAGGATGAAAAATAGAGTCTGAAGCCCTCAAACAGTAAAAAGTCCAAAAAGCCTCGCTTCTATTTTTCTAATCTCTTTAAGGCAAAGCCGTCATCTGTTTTTTTCCAGTGTTTTCCAAAACTGTTTATCTGTGTGTGCATGGACACAAATATTTCTCCTAGTGATGTATGTGCTGAAAAAATACCAAGCCTAGCTTGGGGGGGGTCACAGTAAAGGTTGCTTTGCCAGAGAGGTTGGATGGCTCGTCTTTGTTCGTTTTATTATGTTACTTTTTAAGCAACCAGACAAAAGGGTAAAGTGGTTTGTTTATAAAAACTGCCTTCAGCCAACGTTTCTCTAGGCTTGGGAGCTTAGCAGGAGGGCAGGAGGGGGCGAGGTTAGTTTGCAGCGTTCATCTGTTGTTCAGCAAAGGCTTTATATGAATCACTGGTTCATCTTGCACTGTGTTAATGGTGGTTGTTAGGAGGATGCGTATGTACCTTGAGCTAAAAGCCCAGGCTCTGCAGACGTCTGGGAAAGCAAGGATGAGCAAAAGAGCTGCTCAAGTCGGAGGTTTGGTTCTTCATGCTTCCAGGGGGATCTGCTGCTGGGGACCTCTTTAGGAGAAGAAAGCCCCAGATCTCAGCCCCAACTTCAGGACCACTTCACTAACTTAGGAGATTCCCGTGGTGTTTCTTTAAAAGCCGATGGTTAGATGGAGTTGCTATTAATAATGCACGGTATCCTCTTTTTACAGAGGTATTTCAGGCCAGAGGATGCCAAAATGCTTTAAACAGATCTCCTGAAATTGTTTTGTCTCTCTCAGAAGTGTGCTCAGATCTAGGGGAAAGAGGGTACATGCCACAGCTCTTGGCTGGGGAGCAGCAGCTTATCTGGCACCCTGAGGAGCACAGGGGCTGGGAAGAGAAGCAAGTCAGCTGGGTCCATCTGGAGACCCTGTCACACAGTGTGTCCATGCCCAGCTCTTCCCCTTCATGGCTTTTTCCAGGCCCTTCTTCCCCCTCCACCACACCAACAGGATTCACTTCTGCATCGCAACCCCCTTTGTATCGCAGGGCTGATGGATGCGTCTTCCAGGCTTCAGGAAGATCTTAAGTGCCAAATAAGCAAGCTCCTGAGCATGTAGCTCTGCCAGGCACAGCTCCTGGTTCATGTTTCTCCATCCCAGCCTTGGAGCCATGTTAACACCCTACCCTGTGCTCAGTGGGGAAGGCGAGGTATGCTCACAAGCTCACCCAGCCCTCCTGGACTCAGCTTCTTTGGGCAAAAAAAGAGCTATTTCAGTTAATCCTCTCTCTATTCTTACAAATCAACAAATGGGGTCTGTTCACTGCAAGACTTGTGCAAAGAGAGCACACAAGTGATAACCGAGAGCATTAAGGAGGCTTTTGCAGCCAGGGTACTCTCAGCCCCAGCTGGAGGCAAGGTTGGTGTCCGCTGGGAAGGATGCAACTGTGGGAGAGAGTATTCTCTTCCCTTCTTTTGTTGTGGAATCGAACAGCCTAAAGTACAGCCTGTTCCTCCCTGTTCTCGTGCCCTGCAATGCTGCGAGGTTATTTTAGCAGGCAGCCAAGGAGACTCTGGTATTTTGAAGACATCTGCGGCGCCAGTGTTTTTCAGATGATTTTTAACACTTTGATAGCATTAAAAGACGTCTGGCAAAGCCCGCTACCTCTGCTGTCTACACCGCAATGGCTGGGCTGCGGCATTCCCTTGTCAGATGGGTCCTCATTAGAAATGCCCTGTTAATGAGTGGTGCTGCTTGAAGCTTGAGTAAGGGGGCAACTGCTTCTGATCCTCCCGGTGCCCTGGCTATAATGACCAGGAGGAGGATGGTCCTCTCCTGCAAGGCTGCTTTGAAGGCCAGTGATAACCTGAGTGCCATTCAGGCAAGGAAAAGGCATTTTGCCTCTTGTCACAACCCCGTTTTCAAGCTAATGGGGTGCTTTTGTTTGCTGCTTTCTCTTGAAAGAGGTATTCAGGCAGGAGTGGCTGAAATCAGCAGCGTTACTGCTGGGATTGCTCCAAGCTCCTGAGCCCAGAGCCAGGAGCATCCATTGCCTTTTGCTTGGTCTCCCCAAAACTGATCCAAGTGCCCCCATCCAACCTTCAGACACGGGCATGTTAGAGGGGAAAACTGTCTCCTTACCCTATTTCCTTGCATCTCAAGGAAAGCTTTCATTGATGCCTGAGTGGCGTTTTATAGGAAGGATCCCGTTCTCACAGTATTGCATTCGTGTTGTGGTTTTTCTGTCATTACTATCTGCTTCCAAATAGGAGGGAACTAAGAATTTAGGTGCTAACTGTGAAGAAATAAAACCCAGCTCCCGTTCCACCCAAACCATCCTCATCACACTTGGCCTCACCATCCCTGTACCCAGGCTCCATGCAGGCAGTCCGCCTTTCTCCTCACACCGCAGAACATGTGGCAACGTGTTTGCTTTTAAAACACCCTGAACGCTCGCTTTGCCTCCAGCAAAGAATCCACCTGAGCTTTATTAAAGGCTGAAGGAGGGAAGAAGGAGACTGAAGGGACTATGTGACTCTCCCAAGCTGTGATCCGCGGTCTGTAGCCACTTCTGGTCCATTTCTCCCTCCTCATTATTAGCTAAATGGAAGTGCTAGCTAAATTGGGTGTAGCAGCTTGATAGCGCTCAGATCACCACTAATGACGTTAGCCTGGTCAGAGATAATCAGAACTAATTGTAAGCGAGAGGTGCGCCACTCTGTCTTCCCTCAGCAGCAGAGCACAAAATGGCTGCTGAGGGCTGTGGAGAGCTGTCATAGAATCACAGAATGGTTTGGGTTGGAAAGGACCTTAAGATCATCCAGTTCCAACCCCCTGCCATGGGCAGGGACACCTCACACTAAACCATGGCACCCAAGGCTCTGTCCAGCCTGGCCTTGAACACTGCCAGGGATGGAGCATTCACAACCTCCCTGAGCAACCCATCCCAGTGCCTCACCACCCTCACAGTAAAGAACTTCCTCCTTATATCCAACCTAAACTTTTCCTGTTTAAGTTTTAACCCGTTACCCCTTGTCCTGTCACTACAGTCCCTAATGAAGAGTCCCTCCCCAGCATCCCTATAGGTCCCCTTCAGATACTGGGGGGCTGCTATGAGGTCTCCATGCAGCTTCTCTTCTCCAGGCTGAACAGCCCCAACTTCCTCAGCCTGTCTTCATACAGGAGGTGCTCCAGTCCCTGATCATCCTCGTGGCCTCCTCTGGACTTGTTCCAACAGTTCCATGTCCTTTGTATGCTGAGGACACCAGAACTGCACACAATGCTCCAAGTGAGGTCTCACGAGAGCAGAGCAGAGGGGCAGGATCACCATGTCCATGGATGGGGTGGGTGTTAAGGCTTGGCGAGAGGGAAAGATGCTGTAAAGGAAGAACTTCTTGGTAAGATGGATGGTTAAAGGGTGTACCAAAGGCTTATTTGAGGACGTGGCAGAAGCTGCTCCGGACAAGCCATGGCTGGCTGCCATGTTGAGGTGGAAAGCGGGGCTGTCCGCCATGTTGAGGCGGGAAGCGGGGCTGTCCGCCATGTTGAGGTGGAAAGCGGGGCTGTCCGCCATGTTGAGGCGGGAAGCGGGGCTGTCCGCCATGTTGAGTTGGGAAGTGGGGCTGTCCGCCATGTTGAGGCGGGAATCGGGGCTGTCCGCCATGTTGAGGTGGGAAGCAGGGCTGTCCGCCACGTTGAGTTGGGAAGTGGGGCTGTCCGCCATGTTGAGGCGGGAATTGGGGCTCTCCGCCATGTTGAGGCGGGAAGCGGGGCTGTCCGCCATGTTGAGGCGGGAAGCGGGGCTGTCCGCCATGTTGAGTTGGGAAGCGGGGCTGTCCGCCATGTTGAGGCGGGAATTGGGGCTGTCCGCCATGTTGAGTTGGGAAGCGGGGCTGTCCACCATGTTGAGGCGGGAATTGGGGCTGTCCGCCATGTTGAGTTGGGAAGCGGGGCTGTCCGCCATGTTGAGTTGGGAAGTGGGGCTGTCTGCCATGCTGAGGCAGGAATTGGGGCTGTCTGCCATGTTGAGGTGGGAAACGGGGCTGTCCGCCATGTTGAGTTGGGAAGTGGGGCTGTCCGCCATGTTGAGGCGGGAAGTGGGGCTGTCCGCCATGTTGAGTTGGGAAGCGGGGCTGTCCGCCATGTTGAGTTGGGAAGCGGGGCTGTCCGCCATGCTGAGGGATGAGGTGGCTCACGGTGTTGTCTCCCCTTGCAGGCCTGCGGCGGACCCCCAGCCGGCTGTCGGGGCTGAGCGCTGCCTGCCCCCTGCCCAGCCCGCCCGGCGGCAGCCTGACCTGCGAGCTGCAGGACTGCCCCTTCTGCGCCAGCCTCCTGGAGGACCCCGAGTTCGCCTTCAGTGAGTCCGACTCCTGCGACTCCGACAGCAATGGCGTCTACGAGTTCACCCAGGACCTGCGGCACGGCGACCACAGGGACCAGCTCCAGCAGCAGCGGGGCAGGAGGAGGAGGAAGAAGAAGAAGCCCAAGGAGAGGAACAAGGTCACGCGCCTGTGGAAGGCTTTCGGCAGCAAGCTGAAGAGGATCGTGGAGAGCAAGTACTTCAACCGGGGGATTATGATCGCCATTCTCATCAACACGCTGAGCATGGGCATTGAGTACCACGAGCAGGTGAGTGCCTGGCCTGAAGAGCTTCAAGGGCTTCAGTGACAGTGTGATGTTTTGGGGTGACTCTGTCAAAGCCATGCCAGAGGAGCAGCAAGCACTTCGCATGCAATTTGGGAACGCTAAATGGGGCTGAGGGCTTGATGCTGTAGGTGTGTGATGAGCAGGAGCATCCTTCTGTGTGCAGAAAGGTGGCTGGCAGCGCCTTGTGTGTGTTAGGACATGGCTCAAAGCCTGACTGATTAAGCTGTCTGCTGTGTGTTATTCATACAAGTGTGAGTTGTTCTGGTGGAAGTACCCCTTCGGACTGGTAGTGGTCCACAGCGGACCTTGTCGTGCACATAACCCATGTAGACGTTCCTTCTTTGATCCTGGACCTTTAGATAAAGACTTAAACTATCAGGCAATGCTGAAAGCTACAAAGGAGAAAGGAAGTTTCCCTCTGAAGGCTTCAAAACTTGTGATTTGATCATGTAGGGTAGAGGTAGGTCTCTTTTTTAAGCGTTCAGAGGGAGGAAAGAGAAATCATGTTGTTCGCAGTATTAGTCTGAACATGGCGATGGCAGAAAGCAGTGCTGATAGCTGAAGACAAGTTATCCTTGCTGCTGGCTGATGAGAGCGTGAGGGGCTGTGCAATGAGAGGGATGTGAGTCCTCTGAGTATCTCCAGTTGGTCACTCTGGGGAAAGCAATGCTTTCCTGGGCTTTTCTTTCTTGGACAAACTGGTTGTTTTCAACTGTTTTTTCAGGATATGTTCTGGGATTTCTCATGCCATCTCTGTATCAGGTGCAGGAAGTGCATCCCAGTGGGGCCAGGAGGTCCTCATACTGCTCTTCTGTGAGGAGGATAGTCAAAGGTTCATCCACTGCTCCCCCAAAATCTCCATTGCAGGATCAGGACCAGGTCAAGGTTATTTATAAAGCTATTCCTCCTCTTGGCCTTGCTCTGTCTGCTCAGGAGTGAGGAGGAACGGCAGACAAAGTACCGAAGTGCTCTGTACCACAGTACCAAAGGTGCAGGACAAAGCAGCTCTCATTTTCTTCTCCATTTCCCAGTGTTAAGTCCTGCATGGATCCATGGCAAAGAATCCTCCAGAGTGCTGCTACTATATTTTCTCTCCACTTGTGTACTTTAAACCCCCATATTCTGTGCTATCTGAGATGGTTTCTTTCAGAAAAGCAAGTACTCAGTTAAAACACATGAACCTTAGCTGGGCAACGATGAATTAGTTCACACTAACTGCAGAGAGCGTCCAAACCCAACAAAGAAATAGCTGTCGCCGTCAGCTTTCTGCCTGGTTAGTTGTTCCACAACAAGTTTTAAAACTAGGGAATATACCTTGTCAGTAGCCTTTGAATAGAGCATTCATATCTTGAGGCAGCTCCATTTCTGCATGGATACCCTTTTGTCAGGAAGATACAGCTTTGTCAGTCCTTGGATATTGCCATGACGGGTGCTAGGGGAAAACCTTCGGCAGGCAGTAGTAAGAAAGCCCAGGGATCACATGCAGTCTGTCCACAATCACTCATATAAAGGTAAATCATGGTAATTACATCCTTGCTGCTAACAAAGGAAAACTGGAGCCAGCAGGTTTATGTTGGATTTTACCTTGTAAAAGATTTGCTTTAAACCATCTCAAAGCCAATGGCAATAAAGATTCTGAAGCTTTTGGCTACGGAGCATCAGCCTCCCGCCAGCTTTGCTCCCAGGCACTGCCCGGCGTGGGCCCAATAAAAAGGGAGGGATTTTGAAGTGGAACCTGTTAAAGTTACTCCGTGTGCCTGGCTGCAAAGTTTCTCTGGTCACAGTGGGGTAACAAGCGTGGAGCTGTCAAAGCCCAGCTTTGAAACACCTCACCTGAGCCCTGTCTTGTCAACAGAGTGAGCTCTGGCATTGCCAGAGGCTGGGGCACTATCCAAAAGCAAGAGAAAATGGCTCTGGGCTCCCAGACTGTGTGGCATGAAAGTCTGGGCCTTCTGTGAGCAAACCAGGCTGATTTCAGACCCTGCAGCCTTCCTCATGTGAGAACTGACTGCAAGACTTAGAGCGAGGGGCTGGCTTTGTGTGGAGATGAGCTAGAGACAGCGGAGTGAAGCTGTCATGAGCCCACAGTGGGGTGCTGGGTCGGAGGGGAGGTGAGAATGGCTGGTTTGGGGTATGTCATGATCCTTGCCAGGAAAAAAACAGTTTAATCACAGCTTTCAGGTTAGCGCGTGATGGATGCTGCCCAGTCACTCCGTATCTCTGCTCAGAGCAGGTGTTACAAGGTGTGAGCCTTTCCACCAGATGTGGATGTTATCATAGTCTCCTCCACCTCCTAAGGGCCAGCCTGAAGGCCATTCCCCAAGTGCTATTCAAAGGCAAGGCATCAGTCCTCCGTGCGTGTGGGAGGGGTTGGAGGGTACTGAACAACATATGGTGTAGAAGATAGAGCAGTGCTAGTCCTTGCGGCGTTATCTTGCCTTTCATCCCGGGGCATAGCATCGCTTTGCAGAGGAAGTCTCACAGAGCCCTCTTGAGGCAATCGAGCATTACTGTCCGTATCTTTTGGATGAGGAAATCGAGGTCGCAAAGTGCCAGGCTGGAGGCAAAACTCTGTGGGCTTTACTGCTTGTAGCCACAGGGCAAGTGGGTATGTTGTGTAGTAGCAGAACTTGGCTGACAAAACAGGAAGATGATCTGTTTCTGCATTGCTGCAGTCCTGGATGTTATGTTGAAGAATGAGAGAGATCTGTCTATGTCCAAATCCCCTCAAGGCTTCAATATGTGTTTTTATGGGAATTTGAAGCTTGCAGCAGTCTGCTCACATGGTTACTCTGCCTGCTCTTGGCTAACATTGCTGGCACCGCCCCATTTAATGTACTTTATTTAATTTGATAATAGTAATTTATTAAATTAATGATTTCTGAATTTATTGTTAAGAATAATTGAATGCACTTAATTTAATCCGTGCCCACTTAGGCAGGGTCCTGTCCTATGGCTAAGGTTATGACCACTGTAGCAGCTCTTAGACTCCTGGGAAAGATGAGCTGATGCTAGAACTGCTTTGTACAGGGCTGTCCTTTAGCAGTCCTGTTCTCCTCGGAGGCAGATTGAAGATTTCATGGCAGCACAGCTGGGTTGTGACAGGAGATCCGGGTAGCAGGAGGCAGCTGATGATGGGAAGCAAGTTTCTTTGGGACTTTAGTCACTAGCAGCAATCCTGCAGAGCACATCCATGGGGTTAACACCAGCTCTGGCTCCAGCTGCCAAGCTGCACATGGCTGGTGATTAGGAGTTTACATGATGCTTTTAGTTAGCAGCAGCCAAACTGGTATTTCAGAGGTTAATTGCCTGGTTTGGAGTTCCCTATTTCTTTTTCCTCTGCTCTTGTGCTTTACTTATTTACTTGTTTCTCTCCAGCACAAATAAGCACTCCCACGGATGAAGAAAGCCAAGTACAAAGAAGAAGGCAATCTTTGCATTAATTTTCCAGACCATGTCAGTACATCAGATGATTTGGTACACATTCACTGCAGCTGACAATTCTCCAGAGTATCCGAGAATGTGCCACAGCACTGCAGCAACCAAGCAGGAGCAGTGCACTCCAAAAGCATGACCTCTCCCATGTCTTTGGGAGAGTGGGGAGAAATGACTGGTGCAGGCAGGTCCTGTTTCAGGAGCTGTTGTTTCCAAGTGCCTCTCTGTCACTGAAAGCTAATGCTTTTTTGTCTCAGAGTCAGCTCCTGTGCATGCTTCACTGAGTGGTCTGAAGAAATAATTGCTGTTTCCTTGTTCTGCCTTGATTCCCAGCTCCCTGATTGTCCAGTACAAGGGCAGATTCCTGTTCATTTATCCGAGAGAGATGCTAATGTTATAACTGCAGAAGGATGAGCTCTGAATTCATCCATGAGGACCTCTGGTTTAAGTCGTGAGGAGAGACCCCCAGTTGGCTTCCCAGAGGAATTTGCAGAAGTAGCTGTTGATGCTTGTAATGATTCCACATAAAAAGCTTAATTTACATCAAATGGCACTAGAAATGCTATTTTATATTCACTTCTCGGAAGAAAAGTACAAATTAGTATTTGTTCTAAGCTATTGCTGTTCAAAGAGCTTTTAATTGCTTTTCTGATCCCTCAGCCATGGCAAGTTTCGTTCAGAGCAGCTGTCTTTGGAATAGTTGGAGCTGACCTTGGTGAGCACCCAGCAGCCCATTGCTTATCAGTGAAAGAGAATATTGGTTCTGAGTAGCACATTTTATTCTTATGGAGTAAAAGTAATTCTGTGTGATTTAAGGTAGCAACCAGCTTCTCCAGTGGCGTTCTCCTTTAGCATTTGTCAATTTTGGCTTGAAAAATTGCTTTGGCGTGGAAAGCTCAGCACTTAGTCAGAAAGCAGAGGAGAATCTTTCAGCAGTGGTTGAAGCAAATTTGTTAAATTCCTTTTGAGTTGTGAGTCAATAAAATATGATCCTGATCTGAAATTCTCACTTTCAGCTAGCAAAACTTGTTTGCTCTTCCAACTTGCATGATCCAATTTTAAGAACTGACACATTGGCTGGACTTGAAGCAAACAGATTCCCTCAGCCCAGCCTGGGGTGTGAAAATTCAGCCCCATGTGTTTGTGCTTATTGCATAAATGATGTGAGACTCCTTCTGCCCTTAGTAGTGCTTTGGTTTATGTGTTTGGGCTTTGTCAGCCGGATACCTGCTCCCTCTCTGAGGTCCCAGGTTGTCTTCGTCAAGTGTGGGTTTGGTAGGACCAATACACACTGGGTCTCCTGACCAAAGCAACAGAAATTTGCCTCATTCAACAAGCAGTTTGTGGTAACCCAAATTCTGTCTTTCGCTCTTGGAAGGGAAGGACTTTATCTGGTGACCTTGGGGAAAAGAGGAGTGTTTCCCATCCTCTTCTGTGCCCCAAGATCACATCACCTTTATCTAGGCCCCCTTTTCTGCATATACCCACTGTGTCAGGACATTAACAAACCTGGTGGCAGTTCTAGCATCCCCTCTGCACAGTTCAGG